ACCTTGTTTTAATTGGTGAAGGCGAGCGTTCGCGCCCCCTCTCCCAATTGTCCTCTTTACCAGCTGAGCTAGTGGTGCTAGCCCCTCTGAATATCTTGGGCATAGCTGGGTAAGGAGCATGGACGGCTCTCACTGCTGTACAGTCTGTGGAGCCATGCTCCAGATAGATGACGGTCACGACCTGTGTCCTGCCTGCCTTGGACATGACCATCTGGTGGATGCCCTGTCAGAGAACCCCTGCATGAATTGCAGCTTCATGTCGCATGCTGTGAGGGTGGCCCGGCTGGCCCAGTTTCGCCCCAAACTCGGCGATGACCTCCCACCTTCTGGGCAGGAGGCTCCACCTAGGCGCTCGAAGCGCCAGACTGAGGCCGCAGTCTCTGTGGCCCCTCCTGGGAAGAAGCGAGCCAGGTCTGATAAGGGCCTCTCCACAAGGGTGGAGCAGCTCTCCGCTGAATTAGCGGAGATGAAGTCCCTTTTTCAGGTACACCAACTGGGAACTGAACCAGTGGCAGCAACTGGACTCTCCTCCCCACCCATGCCTGAACTGGCTGTGGAGGAGGATGTGCTATCCTTGGCTGCCTCTGCCTCTCACTTTTTAGGTGAGGAGGACGGGCATTCATCTCGAGTCTCAGAGACAGCTTCACTCTCTTCTTCTCGGAGTGCAGTTAGTGGGTCGGGTGACGGCTCGATGCAGGACATCATGCGTATGGCCCTGAGACAACTGCAGCTGGACGTCCCGCAACCAGAGGCGTCCACCCCTGGAAGTGCCTTCTTCAGGCGCGGACTGACCCCTCCTTCCTTTTCTGTCCCTCCATCAGAGGAGTTCCTGAGGGAGTTGCATGGTTGCTGGCGGGACCCCAAGGCCTTTGCGCGCCTCTCTGCAGATGGCAGAGTGTTGGCGGCCATGCATGAGCCGGCTGCAGCAGGCTTGGATCGCATGCCAGCGATAGAACCTGCTGTTGCCTCTCTCATCGTGTCACCAGATGAAGCTCTGCGCAGTCATGTTCGGTGCCCACGAGCTCAGTGTCGTGTCACGGATGAATTCCTCTGCAGGGCCTATGCCGCCGGAGCGCGTGCTGGCCGCCTAGGTAATTCCTTGGCACACCTAATGCTTGCCCTCTCCGCGTCCCTTCAGGGGACTAGTGGTGCGACAGCAGCGATGGGCTTTAACGATGCAGCGCTTCAGGCCTTTGCACTAATGACGAGGGAGCATGGGCGTGTGATGTCCTCCTTGGTCCAAGCTCGCCGACAGGTCTGGTTAGCGCAGTCAGCATTGACTGAGCCATGCCATAGAGCCCTCCGTAATGTCCCAGTGGTGCCGGGGGAGTTGTTCGGTTCGGCTGCCTTGGAAGCACTGGAACGGACTGTCCAGGCACGACAGAGAAGGCAGCAATTTTTGAACCTTAGCAGGCCAATGCCCCCTCCACCTCCTCGGCATCCAAGGCGCCTGTCTGCTGGCTCCAGCATGCATCCGCCGCCTGGGGGTCATAACCGGCCGGGTGGTCCTTACCCTCATGCGGTTCAGCAAAGGCCCAGCAGGAGCTTTCGTGGGTTGGTCCACCGACCAGCTGGGCAGGCTCGGACCAGGGACTCTGGCTGCCGCCCCCCCACGGCCCCTAGGGGTCGTGGAGGGAGACGGTGATGCCATCAGGCCGACCATCGGATATTTCTCCCACCAGCAGCTCAGCTATTGGGTTGCTCACGCCGTGGACCCATGGGTGGTTGCCACTCTGACCCATGGTTACCGGCTACAGTTCCGACGGCGGCCTCGTATCTCAGGCCGAGTCAAGATGACTGTAATCGCCGACCCGGTGAAAGCTCAAGCACTAGACCAGGAACTTTCCGCCCTCCTGGCCAAGGGCGCAATAGAGGCAGTGGACCCTCTGCAACAACCCAGGGGCTATTACTCGACTTACTTCCTTGTGCAAAAGAAGATGGGCGGGTTTCGTCCCATTTTAGACCTGAGGGGACTCAACCAGTACCTAAAGGAGCTGCCCTTCCACATGCTCACAACAGCAGAAGTCCTTCAAGCTGTCACGAGGGAGGAATGGTTCACGTCTGTAGACCTGAAGGATGCATATTTTCATGTGCCTATTGCGGCAGAACATCGCCGCTTTCTCAGGTTTGCCTATCGGGGTCACCACTGGCAGTTCCGGGTACTTCCATTCGGGCTCTCTCTCTCCCCAAGGGTGTTCACTCGGTGCGTGAAGGCAGCCCTCTCTCCTCTGCAGGCCTGCGGAGTGAAGATTCTGCCGTACTTAGACGATTGGCTTCTCTGCGCCCCGTCTCAGGCCTGTGCCTTTCACGACACAAACCGCCTGCTCGCTCATATGTCCCAGTTGGGCCTCAATGTCAACCTGGAGAAGAGCTGCCTGATCCCTTCCCAGACGACCACCTTTCTTGGGGTGGTTCTGGATTCATCGTCAATGAGAGCTCGCCCATCCGCTCAAAGGGTGGCCGGCATACTCCAGCTGGTCAATCGGTTCAGGCTGGGCAAGCAGCTCCCCTATGTTGCCTTCCTGCAACTACTCGGCAAGCTGACATCAGTCACTCGGGTGGTGCCCTTAGGCCTGCTGTCACTTCGCCCCTTGCAGAGGTGGCTCAACAGCTTTCGCCTGGATGCCAGGCTGCACAGGCATCGCAAGCTCGCAGTGACGTGGTCATGTCTTCATGCCATGACTCCATGGAGGGACGAAGATTATTTGTCCAGGGGTGTCCCCATGGGAGTGGTAGTGTGTCGCAGGGAAGTGGTCACGACGGATGCCAGCTCCATGGGATGGGGGGCTGTATGGCAACGCAGAGCGGTTCAGGGCCGCTGGGGTCAAAGAGACCATTCCAAGCATATAAATGTGCTGGAGCTGCGTGCAGTGCACTTGGCACTCAGGCACTTCCTGCCTCACCTGGAAGGGAGGCATGTACTTGTTCGGTCAGACAACACCTCTGTTGTCTACCACATCAACCATCAGGGGGGCACCAGGTCAGCACAACTTCTGAGTGTGTCCAGAGAGCTCCTGGAATGGGCCTCTCCTCGCCTGTCCACCCTGCGGGCAGCGTACTTGCCAGGGCGACACAATCAGGTCGCAGATTTTCTCTCCCGCCAAGAGTCCCCTCCGGGAGAGTGGTCCTTCCACAGAGACATAGTGCTGATGATCTGGGACCGTTTTGGTCAGGCAGAGATAGACCCGTTTGCGACGGAAGAGTCGACTCAGTGTCCCCTATGGTACTCTCTTACGGGGGCGTCGGGTGTGCTAGGCCAGGACGCATTGGCTCATCCTTGGCCAAGGGTCCTTCTATATGCCTTTCCACCCCTTTCTCTAATTTGGCCAACCCTTCAGAGAGTCCTCGAGGAGGGCCACAGGATGCTGCTGGTGGCTCCGTATTGGCCAGCGCGACCATGGTTCCCACTGCTACGAAGTCTATGTCAGGGCGTCCCATGGTGTCTTCCGACCAGAAGGGACTTGCTGTCTCAGTTGGGGGGACTGATATGGCACCCCAATCCTCAACGTCTTCGGCTGTGGGTGTGGCCACTGCAAGGCTAGGACAGCAGCTGACTGGAGTTTCGAGCCCCGTCAGACGCACCATCCTGGGCGCCAGGGCACCCTCTACTCGTCAGCAGTACGAAAACAGGTGGCGCCTGTTTTCCCAATGGTGTTCGGATCACAACAAGGATCCAGTCTCCTGTACAATACTCACCATTCTGGAGTTTCTCCAGTCTCTACTTGGTAAGGGTCGCTGTCCTTCGACGCTTAAAGTTTATGTAGCGGCAATATCATCTAATCACGCTGGCATTGATGGCTGTACGGTAGGGAGCCATAATCTAGTCTCTCTTTTTCTGCGTGGTGCCCGTAGGTCACACCCGCCGACAGCTCCACGAGCACCAGGTTGGGACCTTCCCTTGGTTCTCGAAGCTCTGTGCCGTCCTCCTTTCGAGCCTCTGTCGCAGGCGGACCTCAAGTGGCTTTCATGTAAGACGGCTTTTTTGTTGGCTATTACCTCAGCAAAGAGGGTCAGCGAGCTACATGCTCTCTCAATCAGCCCCTCATGTCTCAGGTGGGGCCCTGAGGGCTCGTGTGTTACCTTGTGGCCAAACATTGCATTCGTACCAAAGGTGTTATCTCACTCTCACTCTAACCAACCGTTGAGGCTGGCACGTTTTCAGCCTGCGCCTGGTGAGGGGTCTGCATTATTGTGCCCGGTAAGGGCACTGGAGGCATATGTTGCAGCTACTGCCGTGATAAGACATTCAGACCAGCTGTTTGTGTGTTATGGAGGCCCTAGGTTAGGCTGTCCTCTTTCCAAACAGCGCCTCTCCCACTGGATCGTGGACGTCATCTGCCACGCCTATGCTGCAGGGCCCGGCTCCCTGCCGGTCGGCTTGAAGGCTCACTCTACCAGGAGCGTCTCCGCTTCCTGGGCTGCCCTGAGAGGGGTTCCGCTGGAAGCAATATGTGCTGCTGCATCATGGGCTTCCCCAAGCACGTTCACCAGATTTTATAGAGTTAACGTGGCCACCCCTCATCCCCTGGGTCAGGTTCTTCTACAAGGGTCCTCTGGGCCTCCTCAGTGAGGTAGGTGTTAGGATTCCTTGTGACATCGTTGATATTAGTCATTCAGTGCTTTCAGCACCGCCCTCTGGCGGTCAGGAGGGATGAAATAGAACGAAAGTTACGTATGTAACTACGGTTCTATGAATCCCGGATGACCACCGGAGCTTCTCCGTCACTCAGAATCCTTGCGTTTCGCGAGAAGATTCTGTAGGAGCAGAGCAGCGGATGACGTCGGGCTATATAGCCTCTGATTGGTCATCCGTGTCACACCTGTGACTCCGTTGGTATTATTACTCGAATCAGCGCATGCGCGAAGGGAACATTCAGTGCTTTCAGCACCGCCCTCTGGCGGTCATCCGGGATTCATAGAACCGTAGTTACATACGTAACTTTCGTTTTCTTGAGCTGTATGCCATAATCATCAGTATTAAAACAATTAAAGACCTGAAATATTTCAGTTGGTGTGCAATGAATCTGAAATATATGAAAGTTTCATTTTTATCATTACATTATGGAAAATAATGACCTTTATCACAATATGCTAATTTTTTGAGAAGGACCTGTATATACATACATGACACATATAGGATTTTGATGTGGCAACTTGATTTTTGACAGTGAACTTTCTTACACCTACATGCAGCCATAAGCCACAATGGAAGTTGGCACATTGCTTATTTTTCAAGTTATCCAGCTCACAAGATTTACACATATACCAATATGGTGGCAGCCATCTTGGAATTTGATGTGGAAACAAAGTTTTTGAAAGGAACCTTTCTTACGCCTACATGTTGCCACACACCAGAATGGAAGTCAATATTTGACCTGATTTTCAAGTTATCATGCTCACAACATTCAGGCAGATGGACGGAGGGACAGCATTTCCAATTCTTCCTTTTTGCTCCGCAAGGGGACAAACAAACAATAAACAAGAGCTGCTACCACACCAAGTCATAGCTCAATGTTTATAAAACCGAGTTAAAACACATCCACTGGTTCATGAGCTTCGTTACCGACAGACAAACCAACACACACACATTATATACACAGTAGTCCCTCGCTATTTTGCGGTTCGTTTTTTGTGGATTCGCTATATATTGCGGTTTTTCAAAATAAGACTGGACATGACACAATTGGCTGATGATGGCTGAGCCATGGGTTGTTTAATTAAAATAAATTATTTTAAATGATTTTGCACCATGTGTGCAGCCCACAAGTGCAGGGGGAAGCCTCCTGCAGCTGATCAGCTGATCTCCTTCTCTGCCATGCACACACATTTGTCCTGCATCGGCTTTGTGAGGGGTTAACCCTTTGCTGTTCAGATGCACCGATCGACTTTTGTCTTCCAACTTAAAATTCAAAGCATGTCACATCGTAAAATCGTCATAATCACAAAATATATAAGTGTTAAAAGTTATTTTTAATTATTTTAGAACTTCTATGTTCAGTTGTTTGATTGTAATTGATCAAGAAGTACATTTCTGCTCCGTGCAGTGCTGCGTGAAGGCTCAACCCTTTGATGTCCTGCTGCACTTCTCTTCTCTACAATTTAAATTTAAATACTGTAAAATTTTAAATAAACAATCCATGGATGGTCCCAAACACCCGTGATAAACGAGGGACTACTGTATTTCCCCGTGCAGGCACCGACCTTCATGTATCGCAGGTTTGGAATGGACATAATTCTGACTTCAGGGATGTAGCTCCTGTGGGAGGAAAACACAAAGGTCCAGTCAGAACGACAAGAACCAAAGACAAAGTTCAACATTCAGCTTTATTTATAATGCGATGCTCTGAAACTACATAAACCTGCTGCTTATTAGTTTAAAAAGAGTCTTGTAGTTTAGATTCCAGGACACATCGTTTTGTTTCATTCTAAAATGAAAACTCAACACGTGTTTAACAAACTGCTAAAGACTCCTCCAGGTGAAGGAAACGGGCTGATTTAAACACTCACACAGCCACCAGCTGGATTTTGAACTTGATTGAAGTCGGGTTGAACTCCGGCTTGCTCAGGTTGTGTTCACATTTCTGAGGATCAGCAAAACCATGATAAATTAGTTATATACAAAAATTCAAAGATCTTTTCTGACTGACGCAGGAGCGGTAAAAGCCTCGAGTAGTGCTGACCCGGCAGCGAAGGGAGCGCTTCATCAGGAGGTGCTTGTGTCGCGGGTGGAGCTGAGACGCTCCTGCAGGCTGGATGTCCGGCTGCAGGAGCCTCTGGCGCAGCGTGGTCACTGCGAGGACGACGAGAAGCACAGGTTCAACTCAAAGCACAATGTGAGGTGTAAAAAGTGTTGCTTTTGAACAGAACAGTACCTTCTGGTAAATTGACAGGTCTGGTGTAACAATCCTCGGGCAGAGGCTCCACTTCATCAAGAGCCTGGGCCGGCTCGATGCTGACCTCCTTCTGGTCCTCGCCTTCTTTAAGCCTAGAAAGGATACACAAACACAGCTTAAAAGTCTGCTCGTCCTCTTTAAAGATGGTTTTTAACAAACAGGAGCACAGTAAAATATAGAGCGTGTTGAGGGGATTATAAATTCACTGCAGGTGAGAAAAACGCACCACTGATATATTATCTTTACGAAAACACGTTTTAGACTTCTGCATGATCCTAATCTTCACTTTAAAGTTCCTTGTGTTCAGATTTACGTTCACAGATGTCCCACTCAAATTTTGAGTCCAAATACAAACTTTTATTGTGAATTTACAGTAAACCTTTGCACGACGAGCACCATAAAAAAAAACAGACCAAAACATATGAGGGCAGCTGGGGACAACTCTTCTGAATTAAAAAAGCTGCTTTTTTTATTATTAAGTATAAGGTGCTCTTCATAGCTCGACTCTGGGTGATTTTAGTTAATTGGGATTCTCATTTAGCAAAACCATCTCCTTTTTACTCTACAAAGTTAAAGAGGTATCAGAATTGCATGCGTTGTGTGATAAATGGTCAATTTTGAACCATAGCTGGAGTACAAATGAGTTGTAATTTGCATTAAAGTCTTCGTTAGGAATGTCTTGTCCAAATACATTTTAAAACTTTGAGGTATTTTATTGCAAACATTGTAATTTGTGGACAATGATCACATAACACACAGCCACCTTTAAAAAGCAAAGAGCATTTATCTGTAAACAGTTTAAAAAAGCAACTTAAAGCCAAGATACTGACAGCTACAATATTAATCTCAGTCCTGCCCATCTTTTAAAGATCATAATGATATGATGAGAAATGTTTGCACCGCTCTCTTGTAAAAAATAAATATGCTGTACAGTAGACCCTCGCTATGCGGTTCGTTTTTCACGAACTTGCTCTATCGTGGTTTTTCAAAGTAAGATTGGACAGGACACACAATTGGCTGAATGATGGATGAGTCACACGATCTGCATTGGATTTTTATTTAAAATAAATTATTTTAAATTATTTAGAACCTGCTGCACATTTGTGCAGCCCACAGCTGCAGAAAAAGCTTCTTCCTGCAGCCTGTGTGCAGCCCACAGCTCCGGAGCTCCCTCTTGCAGCTGATCAGCTGATCTCTGCTCTGCAGGGAGAAGCGGACGTGGTCAAGAGCAGCCAAGGTAGAGAGCTGAAATCATGACATTCTGTGCTCTTTTAGAGCTTTGAGTTTAGAAACTTTGTTTAGAATATTGCAAAAGTGTGGAGGGTTTAAAACGTCTTTAAATAAATAAATCTATCCATCTATCTATCCATCCATCCATCCATCGAGAGAGAGAGAAATACTAAAATAAACTACTACTTATTACTTGTACTACTATTTCTACTTCATGGTTTTTCACATATCGTGGGTCTTCAGGGTACGGATCCCCTGCGATAAACGAGGGACTACTGTACTGTATTGTGATTAAAGTTGGACAAAAGCAGATAAAACACATCTGGAGCCGATAATTTAACTTAAACCAACTATTAGAATATTATATAAAATGTTTCATAACGAACTGACTCGGACTGACCCACTCCGACTCTTGATAAATAATAATGTTACATGCTCAAGATCTTTAAAATGTATAGACATTTATATTGAAAACAGTCTTCCTAGGCTCAAACTTTTTTTTTTTTAATTAGAAGAACAAAAACAAATTTACAAGGGTTATTTAGATTTAAAAGTGAGAACCAATGTGAAATACAGATCAAGTTCAAGGTTCTTTATTGTCATTCACATGTGGTACACGTGATGGAACGAAATTGAGTACACAGGTTTCCAGTTACATCCAACAATAACAAAAATATAAACTGTAAAAGAAACAGTACAAAGGATCCAAAATATAAACCAAAAAATTAAGAAACTAAGAAAATAAAAATTATTCTATAGATTCAGTTCTGGGAGTCGCATTTTAGACCGGAGTTGAAGAAATCAGTATTTAATTTACAAAAAGGTTTCAAATCCAAGTTAATTATGTGTTATGATGAAAAGTGATTCACACAGAAAGATTGTGAAGTTTGAAGATTATTTATTTAAATTATTTACAGAGTAGGGATTTTTAATTTGTCATGAGACGGGCATAAATAATCTCCAGTCTAATCCTTCAGTATGTTTTGGTTTATATTATTGTAATTGTTGTTTTTAATGTGACTAGGAAACTAAAATAAACTAATAAATAAAAACAAATAAATGTGGAAAAATAACTTTGCTTGCATCAGTTATTTACGTGAAACGTGAAAAGTCTCTGGAAACACTGATAATATTTTTCCATCCAGACTTCAACATTTCACCAAAATAAATAAATAAAAACATACTTTTTTAATTTTGTTGGAACCCTGAATCCATTTGTTTTCTTAAATTCATGGATTTGTTGCAGCAATCAGCCTTTTGTAAGCAAATGATTCATTTTAGGTATTTAGTCGAGGTCCCTGGCTGTTTCCTCAATAATTACATTTCTATTAGAAGACAGCAAAGCAGCAGCTTAGAGCAAATAATCAATGATTACAAACTGTTCACTGTGATTGATTACCAATGCATCTGAAAACAAACTTCCAGGCTCTGCTATCTGATGTGAAATTAATGAAACCAGGGCTGCTGGAGAGTGGAGCATCTATTTATCTAAGTCATCTGCAGTGCTCGGAGTGTGTAGTCACTGGAAACACACACATCCAGCCTTTAAATCTGAAGTCTAACAAAGAAGAAACAAAAAGAAAGAAAGAAGGCTCTGTAGTCGACTTACGAGAGGCCAGCCAGGCTTGAAATGGGAGCTCCAGACCTCTGCTTCTGCAGTCTGGTTCCAAGGCCGTATTTTTCCTGAGTGGATTCAGACAAAAAGACACAATTAGGCAGACCGCCAAATAACAAGAGGGGAGAGTTAGTGATTTATGAAATTAATCTACAGCTATTTTTCTACATGACAATTCTTACATTCTTTGCTGAGACAAAAAAAAAAGTAATTTAAATCTCAAGACCAAAAACAAACGTGCTTTGACACTTGAACAAGAAAGACTCAGTAAGCCTTGATTTTAAGGAGAAAGCCGAGCTGAGCAGGAAGGAAAACAAGGAGGGTTTCATCTTCATGAGGATTTATTTTTCCATCCTAACAGACTAAGATGTCCTCTCTTGCTTCGCTTCCTTTAACCAGAATAAAAGCTTCCCTTGTGCGGATGTCAGGGAGTTATTCATGTGATGCGTGAGGCTCTCACCCGCAGATTAAACCAGAAAAAAAAATTAAATAAAAAAAAAAGAACTACTGTGAAGACAAAACTACCCAAATTGTGAAAAAAAACAACTCACCACCACATGAATAGTGTGTTGCTGTGGAGAGGGGGTGAAAACCAAAAGTCAGAGCGCACGAGCAAAGAAAAATAAGAGAATAAAGAACAAGATGAAACCAAAGCAATTGAGCACAACATCAGTGGCATTTGGTGACATGCAGCAGCGACAAAGAAAATCCTGCAGAACATCACACCTCAAACACAACAAGGACTGGGCTACTTTACTGAGACTGAATCCTTGAAACAGAATGTAGGAGGTGTAAACAGCGAGACAAGCAGCTAAATAAACATGGAAGATATGTTCATGTTTAGAACATGCATGTGTTCTGATGGACCTGGCCCATTTAGGTAAAGTTAGGGCTGCTTTTTGAAACTTTAAATACTACCTGAAAGCAGGATAAAGTGTGTAGAAGTGTTATTATTGGTCCTGGAACCAAACAACTGCTGATAAATCTATGTAGGGCTGCAAAGGGGGGAAGTTTCCAGAAACTTTCTGTGGGAAATTAAATTGGGCGAAATTTATAAATAACCAAAATTAGAAATCTTCTTTCAATCGATCAGACGTCAATAACAAATTCCTTATTGATGTTCTTATTTGAACATCTCATATGAAAACACAAAAACGTTGGGATGTTATGTGTTTTATGTAGTGCCGGTGCGTACAATGTGTGATTTGGAATTTTAAAGACTTTTTATTCGGAAAACGCAGTCGTAGTAGTAATTCTGCGTTGAAACCACTCATCAAATATATTTACCCAACAAAGCTTCACTGCATGCAGTCCGCAGGCTTGAAATACGGGACCTTAAAGATCACCGTGTCACACGCAGGTGACGGAGAAACAGAAATAGTGTAGATATACTCAAATGTATGGATGAAAGCTGTTTGTTTTAGTCACGATTCTGCTAAAATGTATTTTTCCCCAAATATATCTCAAAGTCCTATTAAGTTCCAACCTTCACATTTTAAAACACTAAGTTTATTCCCATACATTTCCATTAGTTGCTGTTAAATGGAAAGTTTCCAACTTTAAAAATGCTCAGAACTTTGCAACCCTACTTTATAGAATATTAATGAAAGAGTTCAAGTGTGCCAAATTATTTATCTGTAAATTATTTTTCATCACAGATCCAACCAAAAGGTTAAAAAGGTGTAACATTTTATAAAAAGGCTGGTTGGAACGGTGCTCAGAGAGCAGAGTACCGAGAACGCGAGGGGCATGCACTGGCGCCTCCTGGCCAGCTTCTTCCTGTCCCTCTCCTGCTTCTCTCGATGGGCCAGCTGCTGGTAGTACTCGATCAGCTTGGTGATCTGTAGAAAACAAACGTGCACACACACAGGTCAGTTCTTAACAGAAGGAACATTTTCAAGACCACAACAGGAGGGGTTAGAGCCAATTCATTCCAAAAAGAACTACACAATACAGCTTTGTAAGAAATAATTTTTTTTTAAAAACACCTTGAACAAGTTTTCATGTAAATGCAAATACAAAACTTTTCATTTTATATCGTTATTTTTGACACACTGATATTCAGGTGAAGAAAGACTCCAAAATGAGCCTCAAAGATCCAGAAACCCTCCACACTGAGAGCCAAACCCTGAGTTTTCCAACAGATCAGATGAAGCTCCAAGGTTTTCAGATAAACTTTGTAAAAGCTCCGTTTACATAGTTTAATAAGATGAACCGAGATCAAGGTAATGACACACTGTGCATTTATCTGCATAAATGTAATTTTACTATTTATATTTAAAAAAAAAACATTGTTTTTCTGACTTTACGTGGAAAGTCAGAAAAACTTGTCACTTTTAACCAACAATCCACTCATTTCTTCTGCTTGTCATGGTCAGGCAGAGGAAACGGGTCCAGGAGGAAAACCTAAATATCCTTCTCCCCCAGCAACGCTCTCCACCTCTTCCCAAGGTGTTTCCAGGCCAGAAAGGAGATATAATCCCTCCAGCAAGTTCTGGGTCTGGCCCGGGCTCTCCTTCCAGTGGAACACGCCCGGTGCACCCGTTCTTAATAAAAACAGACAAACCAGCTCAGCTGAAGTCAGCGTTAGGTGTCATGAAATAAAATCTCACTTTCAATCATAATCTGTCACCATTAGAGGTAGAGTCCATAAAAAATATGAACAAATAAATATATGAACAGTGCAACTATGTTCAGCCTATTGAACTAAAAGTGGGGTAGAACTCAATACTTGACGCAGCAAAAATAAGCCCAAAACTATAATAATTTATCATTTGTGCTACATATGTAGTCTGAGCAACTGTGTACCACTTCATCTGCTTTTGCCTTAAGCGTTTTATGTGTTTACATAAATTATTCAAAGATTTAATCACAGGCAAACAGTGCATGATCAAGAAACGTGAGCAACTCAGAGCATTTAAAAATGACCACGGGGGACAACATACCCGCTGAGCGTGAGGGTTCTCTGGCTCCTGCCATCCACCGCTGGCTGTGATAAACAAAACACAGCAATACATCAGTCTCAAGACAGTAATTAGCCCAACACGACCTCAAAAAACATATGAAGAAACAAGCCTATAAACAGTTTAATTCAAGTTGTTTATAGGGATTTAAAGTTCATATATGATCTCATGAACACATCAACACCTACCAACTGATTTGTCAGCCATGCCGACATCCCTCGAGGTCCAGCGACAGAAACCACAGGCCATATAGTAGGCTTTCTTCATGGTTGTCTTGGTGGGATCATCAGGTAACGGAGCTGGGATGTTATTGGCTCGAGTCGACAGTGTGTGCATGCAGCAGGGGCAGTCGAAACAATTTGCACACCTACAACAGGGCCCAGAGACAAAGAGATTATTTTAAATCGAAATCAGCGGCACTGCAAATAAATAGAATAGATATTCAGCTTTGTGTGGAAATGAAGTGCCTGTCTCACCTGTTCTTCTTAAGCTTGGCCTCTGCAGATGGCATGTTCTCCAAGCAGCTCGGACAGTAATGAGAGTCCACCTGGCAATAATTAAAAGTAACATTTTTTTCCCTGAGCTTTAATGGCCTACTCCTTTAATTTGTATAAAACACAAAGAATAAAATCATTAATTTATTTTCACTAAGTGGAAAGGTTGCTGTTACTAAACTGCTGGTTAAAAAAGAAATAATTTTGCAATTCAGAATCGCTCATTTCTCTGGGTGTGGTATGCCTTTGGCTTGTTAAACACACTTCCTAGTGTGTGAGACATTAGCTGAGGAGGACCAGCGTTATAACGAATATTTCTGTTTAGTAAACATGCTACTAAAATTTATAAACGAGTTATCGTTTGCCAACAAGCCTAACATATAGCATTAGCAGTTTAGCTCCTTGACTCTTAGCTAACGTTAACTACAGCAGAAGTTGCGTTTGAACGTCCAATGAAATTAGAGCACTGGCACCAATCCCGTTGACTGACAAGGGCCTTAGCCAATCAGTGTGTGAGCTGATCAAACAAGTCCCGCCTTTCTACCAGAAAGACAGGCAGTTTGGCTAACAACAAAATAGCTAACCACTGAAGGAAAAAAAAAATGTTAACGTACCTCGTGAGACACACATTCTAACGATCGGAGCTCGCTACAGTAGCGACAGAAATACAGCTGAGACAGGGAGGCTCTAATCCTTTTCTCCCCTCGAGCCAGGTAGACAACTCTGTCTGGCTGCAGAAGAGACGCCATCTCCTCCAGCCGAGCTTACTGCTGAGGATGTCACCGGTTGTCGGACGTCAAACTTCTCACTATGGACCTCATGTGGCGGATGTTGAAATCGCCACCCCCAGCTTGTGTAATTCATATTTTTATTTACTCCAAAACAAGCTGTGAGCATCCCAAAAATAAATTAATAAATAATCGAATTTAATTTAGTGAACCTTTAAAAACAAAAGTCATCCCACGGTTCCATACTTGATCTCTCATAAAAAGCAACAAGTGAATGATACTGGATCACATTAGCAAAGTTCACTTTTTTGTGTCATCCATGTTTCTTTAATGTATCATACATACATACATACATGCGTTGTTTTTTTTTTTACTGAATAAACTCAATCTATTAAACAGCTTAGTTAATTATTTTTCAGAATAATCTCGCTCTATAAGAACACTTTCTTTAATTCATTTATTTAAATATAGCAGCCAAAACCTTGAGGAAAAAAAAAGTGTTATTGGTACTGTGCAGTTTGGTACATGGCAGGGGTGTCCAGACTTTTTCAGCATGCGAGCTCCTTTTAAAATGACCAAGTCAAAGTGATCTACCTGCTAAGGACCCGTTTACACTGGAACAATCTCTGGAAACTTTAGTGTTTGTTCAATGTTTATTGGGGGTAATAAACAAAAAATGAGCGGGTTTACACGAAAACGCTGTAGTTTCCATGTCAGTCGGGTTACCAGATAAGAAATTATGAACTATAGTACTGTCACTTTAAAATGACAGTATTTAGACCTAAACTGCCATATATGCTGCATAAAGATATTCTAAGATGAAGTGTGTGTTGTGTTTGTTGAACATGTGCACAGAAAAGGAGGCGGTAAATAAGACATCTTAAGTTTATCTGGCAACCCTCTTTATGCATGCAGCATCTGCATGACAGTTATGTCCATACTGGTGAATACACTAACGTCTCTTTGGACCCTGGATTTTATTAGTTTTGCTCCTACATGCTAAAAAAAGGGCGAGTAGCACAAAAATGCTCTGCTCGCTGCCATTTATTATAACTGTTGTTAGTGCAGAAAATCTATGGACTGCAGCTGCTTGGAGATGATGTGCGACTTCACTTACGGAGCATTTCACACCTCTGTGGGGGGTTCCCGATTCAGAAACATTTGGTTTCAGAGAGAATTAGGGCTGTTGTCGTGGAAATGAATGGCCGAACGTTTCACGTCATGTAAACGGGACCTCAGACTGGCTGCCCTGTATGTAAGAGACAAATTTCATAGATGTATGATTTTTTAAAATACCATGATGGGTAGATCGTGAACGACGTATTGGGCACCCCTGGTATGATTCATCACCCAACGCTGACCTGGCCCGCAAATTAAACACATTATTATGGACCGACCGGGCCCTAATCCGTGTCAGGTAGGGTCGGGCTCCGGGTTCGGGTTAGAAATGACAGCTCAAATGGCGACTACTTCCACTGCAGCTCCTCCTATGTTCAGGGAGGGGTGGGGGTAGGTGTGTTTGCTCCTTCTGAAATCCACAATCATCTCCTTCATCTTCTTTACTTTGATGTGAAGGTTGTTCTTCCTGCACCAGCTCTCCAGGTGTTCCACCTCCTGCCTGTAGCCAGACTCAACGTTGTGATGCATCCAACCACTGCTGTATTGTCTGCAAACTTTACAGTATGACAGTCTGGATGTGTAGGTGTGCAGTCATATGGGAGCAGAGTGAACATGAGGGGGCTCAACACACAGACCTGAGGGGAGCCAGTGCTGAGGGTTATGGTGGAGGAGGAGAAGTTGTGGATCCTCACAGACTGCGGTCTGTTGGTTCAGAAGTCCAGGACCCAGTTGCTTAGGGAGGGGCTTAGTCCTAGTGTGAGTAGTTTGACCATGGGGTCTGGGGGATCATGGTGTTGAAGGTGGATGTGAAGTCCACAAAAAGCATACAAACATAGGAGTCCTTCTGCTCCAGGTGGGTGAGAGCAATGTGGACCACAGAGGAGATGGAGTCCTCTGTTGATCCATTCTTGCAATATGCATACTGGTGAGTGTCCTCGTTAATGTCAATGGTAGCGTTGATGTGGGCCATGACCAGTCTTTCGAAGCATTTACCGACTATTGGGGTGAGGGCTACTGGCTGATAGTCATTCAGACCAGTCACTGCAGAGATCTTAGGAACTGGGATGATGACAGCAGTCTTTCATGTAGGTGGGAACATTTGTCAGGGTGAGGGAGGTGTTAAAGATATTGGCCAGCACCTCGCATAGCTTATCAGCACAGTATTTTAGCACCCTCCCAGGAATGTTGTCTGGGCCATTTGCTTTCCTGAAGGTCGTGCTGAGAAGCTCCTCTTCTGGTGGTGAGTTGAGTCTGGTGCTGGGTGGTCTATTTTGGTCTTCAACGTGGGCATAGAACCTGTTAAGATCATCAGGCAGCGCTGGGTCCCTAGGACATTGTGCAACCTTGCTTTTATAGTCTGTTCAAGTTCAAGTAGGTTTATTGTTGTTCTTACTTATGTGGTACATGATGTGGGACGAAATTATGTACACAGGGTCCCAGTTACACAGCAATGGCAAAAATATAAAGTCAAGTCACATTTATTTATATAGCACATTTAAAACAGTAACTGTAAAAAGAAACAGTATATAAGGATCTAAGATTATACACTAAGATATACGCTACACGAATGCCAAACAATACGCTAAAAGACCTAAGATATACTCTAAACACTAATAATGCAAAACAATTGAATGAAAATAGCATCTCGCACAGTGATTGCTGGATATGGGCACCGGCGACCCCCGTGACCCAAAATGGAAGAAGCGGGTAAAAGATAATGGATGGATGGATGGATGGATGGAAATAATCATCAGCATGAGATCATAGACATGGATAATCAGCAGCATAGATAAGTCGCACATCACCAATTCAAGTAGCATTACAGTGATTTTTTCCCCTCTTGTTTGTCACAGTGAATGTCCTGGTTAGGGATTTCTGAGTCTACCAGCTTCAGGGCAAAAGTTGTTATGCACTTAATGCCCCTCCACGTGCTCCGTGGGTCCTGTGAGGCGAAATGTCCCTGGATCTTCTGTGCATATGTTGCTTTGGCCCTTTTAATACCAGCAGCCAACTTTTCTTTGCCCTCCCTAGTTCCTGTTAGTCACCATACCTGAAGGCAGTATCCCTGGCATTCAGCAGGGCATGGACCTCTGTGTTCAGCCAGGGTTTCTGGTTCAGGTAGCACTTCACAGTCCTGGTGGTGGTGACATCATCAACACACTTGCTGATGTATCAGAGGAAAGCAGATGTGTAATCCTCCAGATCTAGCTCTCCCTCATTTACAGCAGCCTTCCTGAAGATCTGCCAGTCTGTATGTGCAAAACAGTCCTGCAGTACAGAGGACTCCTCCCACAGACCAAAAACATGCATGTTAGGCTGACTGGTTACTGTAAGTTGTCCCTAAGTGTGAGTGAGAGAGGGAATGGTTGTTTGTCTCTATGCATCTCTGTGATGGACTGGAGACTTGTCCAGGGTGTCCCTTGCCCCTCGCACAGTGATTGCTGGACATGGGCACCGGCGACCCCCGTAATCCAGAATGGAATAAGCGGGTAAAAGATAATGGGCGGTGGATGGATGGATGTATATGTACACACACACATACACACACAGACACTTTGGTGTATTGCTCCATTTTTGGCTTTTTGCGTACTTTTTAGCTATTTCTTGTTCATTTGAACTTTCAGCTAATGTTTTTCAAATTTTATCTTTTAGTTGGTGTTTTGCTCATTGAGCTTCTGCCCTGCATTGATTTTTTTTATTTTATTTTGTTTTTCACATAATTATTTATTTAAAACAAGTCATTTAATAGCCTAGAATCTTTATCCCCGGTTGACTTCTGTAGAGAAATGGCGCTAAATAAACTGAACAGAGACCAACTGGTATGTTTTTCTTCTACTAGTCTGCACAGGTGTGTTTTTTTTTTAATTTTTTATTACATAACTTTATCAACTTTACAAACAAGTGTCTGCCAGGAGTATATTTACAGGTACAAAAGTAATAGTATACAAGTATAAAAAAGAACAATATAATTATAAAATGGTACAAAAGGTTAAAAAAAAGTCTAAAAAGATACAAAATAATCTATTTACAGGTTATAGGTAAATTCACATTAAGTTTTTCCAGACCTGAGATGGTTTTCATTGCCTTTTTGTTTTCAAGTCCTTTAATAGTGGTGCTGTAAGTTATGCTTGGCTTGGAGTTTGAACACTTTTTTCTTGTGAATGTGAAATTTTCCCAGGAGAAATAGAAGTTGGGTGAAGTAGATCAGGTCTTTATCCATATCCTTATCGTTGAAGCATAATATAACGTCTTTCTCTCTAAGTTGAATTATTTGTCCATTTTTCTGTCGTATGAGTTGTACATCTGTCCAGAATGCCTTTGTATGATTACATTGATAAAATAAATGAGATTGTTTCCATGTGTAGTTCACAAAATGTTCAAGAATAGTCAATATCAAGTTTAAATCTTTCCAGTGTTAGTTTTTTTTAACAGGGTATACATTATGATTTGCACAGGTGTGTTCTCTCATTTATTATCCATAGCTGTCTACGTCACCAGACAGGCTCCTCCCCCTGGGTTCCTCTCGAGGGAGAAGCTACACATTACAAGCACATCTTCCACAGTCAGAGAGCGGTGTTGGTGATGGGTCAGGACGGCGCCATGTGGACCCTTTTCCCGCTGCTGCTGCTCGCCATACCTCGGCCCTGCGCCGGAGCAGCCCTCACACAGGTACCTGCTGATGGAAAACACGACATCTGAAGACAAGAACCGAAAATAAGCTGCCTAAATCTGACGTCATCTTAATTGTCTTTAATTACCGCACGTCTGCGCGTTGTGGCGCACTTCCAATTATTTAGTAAAAAGCAGGAGAAACTATTAAATGTGCAAATGGAATACCTAAATATTATAAACACTGGTTAAATTAATTGCGCAGAGTCACTGTTTATAATATTTTAAATAAATCTGCACTTTTTGTTCATATTTGGAATCTGGTGAGAATATTGTTTACTTGTTTACTCTGCCAGGCTGTGGTAAATAGTTAACCCACAGTTAGGGTTACTCTTTGTTCCCTTCAGCCTGTACAGGCCCCATGTAAACAAACAATATATATATATATAATTATCAGCTGCAACATCTAGACCTCTCAATAACTGGAGATAAGTGGTTCTGTTTCTGGTTTGTTTCGTTTAAGAGCAAAGTTTTTATTGACAAGAAATTGAGCTGTTTTTGTTGTTGTCAAATTTGAAGTGGGGGCAGTCAGACATGCTGAACCATAAAGAAACAGGAGTAAGTTGAGCTTAAGTTAACAAGCCTCTGATATTTGCTCTGAAGACAGAACAGTCAATAGAGTTCAGGTTGTTTATTTGGGGTTTTCGTTAATTAACAAAAAACTGGTTTGAGACGGTTCAACTTCAGTTGTGAGAAGGTCAGATGTTTCAGGCTCATGGGCACAATTTATACACTTTTTTTTTGTAATCAAGGACAGCAAGCTTTCTGTTTCTCACAGTTTTTAGGCTCAGAAAACAAGTCTGTTATTTGTTAATGCTGCTCAGTGATACGGTGCGATTGGTGATAAGATGCATCTCTGTACTTTACCTCCCCAGTCTCTGGGATTCTTCCAGAAAATATTTAGCAAAGCTTGTCTGACAGACTTCTACAAGCTTGATGTGACACTCGAGGTGTGGAAATGGCTCCATGCGTTTTTATATTTTTATCATTGTGTTCACACATTTTTAAAAAGTGTTGTTTGTTGAATAGGACTGCATTAAGACATCTTGTTGTCTGATACTCGGATATATTCATCATAAGTTTTTACCGACTTAAGGTTAAGACTCGTGGAATACTGATACATAAATGTCTAAAGTTGTCCACAAATCAGACAAATGCCCTTCAAAAACTCCTAATGGAAATTTTATGCAAGCATTGTATACAACATTAATTTAAAAGTGGGTCCCAGTCTAGGATATTTAAAGGTTTTGGACGTTTGCTTTAACCTGGTTTGTCCCCCCCCCCAGCTGTGTGACTCATCCACTCCTGGCACAATCCACAAATACCACGCAAAGACTCTGAACGGGAGTCACACCGTGAACTTCACCGACTACGTTGGAAAGTGTCTCCTCTTTGTCAACGTTGCTACGTACTGAGGACTGACCTTTCAGTACGTGGGTAAGGAACTACAGTCGGCTCTTTCGTGTTGCCGTACGTCTTCTCTAGTGCTAACGTTTCCTCTTCTCGTAGAACTGAATGCACTGCACGAAGAGTTCAGACGTCACGGCTTCACTGTCCTCGGCTTTCCCTGCAACCAGTTTGGCAAACAGGAACCGGGGCAGAGGCATGAAATCCTGCCAGCATTGAAGTAAGAACCCTTTACCTTCCAGCACGGGTCAACCTCAAGTCAGCCACAAACAGAAACGTTGTTTCAAAAGAACTCAAGGCTACACCAACGCTATCAGGTGACGGTCTTGTTTTCCTAAATCTCGGCTCCTGTTGGCGTCACAGCCCTCTCTGGTAAGTATCTCCAGATCTGGCTGCAGAGAGCTGTGACATTTGGTGTCCCCTGTCAATCAACAGAGCTTCATTTAATTAAAGAATTTTTGACAGGACAGTACGTCCATTGTTGTGGACATTTTATCTTCAGCTCCCATCAGTTAATGAAAACCCAGAGCAGAGACTTTACAATAGCATCCTGCGGTGTTGTTGAGCTCCAGTCGAGGGCCGCAGCCAAACTAAATCCTCTGAGGTGCCTCCACTGATGAGATCCTCTCTCTGAACCTCAGGCACGTCAGACCAGGCAACGGCTTCGTTCCAAACTTCCTGCTGTTTGAGAAAGGAGATGTGAACGGAGAAGCTGAGCAAGAAGTTTTCACATTCCTTAAAGTATGTAAAGCTGTGTGATTTACTTAAAGTGATAGTTCAGATGTTTTTTAAGTGGGGGTTCTATGGAAAGTATATAAGTAGTTGGTTTCTTACCTTTTACAGAACTTGTCTCCGAATGATCTAGGATTTATTTCAGACCAGACTTAACCGTGTGTCAGAAGCAAGTCGGAAAACCACTAACATTTGCTAATTGTGTGCTCAGTAACCAGGCTAACTACCGTTAGCTAAACATGACTAGCTATACACTTTATGGTAGCAACATGTTCACCGACAGTGGCTGGACTGGATTACTGGGATACAGTTTATTCCTGCGCGAGTCAGCCATGATGGATTTTAAGGTCATGGTTGGTCAGGAATCTCAAACTTTGACCTGTTTTTTTTTTTGGGTGTGGTATTGCTGTTAACTTTTTATTAATTTTTTTTTACTTGAAATTCAGAAATTCTGATTTCAAAGTACAAATGATACAGTTTGACTCTGACCACACTGACCTGAGAGACCACACCCATCCTGCGATCCTTCGTGCAGCTACTCAAAATACATCAAAGTCTAATTTACGAGTCTTTAAACCATCCGTTTCGAACAAATGTTTAGATATTCCTGCTGGAGGTGCTACAGCTAGCTGCTGCTGTCACTTTGTGTGCGAGTAAACGGATTTTATGGAAATCATGTAATGCAAAACTGCAGCCTAAAGGTTTATAAAATGAGACTTGTTCCAGATGACTGCATGCGTGGCTGTGGCCCCACTCAGACCAGCCATGAGCTCATCAGTCTGGTCAGAAATAAATTCTAGTTCTTCAAACTGATGCTGTTTAGAGAGACCTGCAACAGGTAAGATACTGGTTTGAACCTCAGTCCAAATAAAGCTGAACTCTTGTCCTTCATTCCAGCGGAGCATCTAAGTTTACATGTAAGGGCATATTCAGGAAACTAAAGATTAATTTCAGACGTTTCATATCAAACATCACAACATATTTGTATTGACGGGTTTAAACGGCCACACCAAACGTCAGCTGCATATTGAAACGTTTCCTGCGCTGGAAGTCATTCCTGTGTTAAGTCTGTGCTTTGTGCCGTGCAGAACTCGTGCCCTCCGGTGGGGGCCGACTTCGGCGTCGTTAACGGCAGGTTGTTCTGGGAGCCTCTCGCGATCAGCGACATCAAGTGGAACTTTGAGAAGTTTCTGGTGGGACCAGACGGGAAGCCGGTGATGAGGTGGCACCCGCGCGTAAACGTGTCTGAAGTCCGAGCCGACATTCGCAGATACCTTCTTCAACTCTACACCCAGAATGTCTTTAATTAAATGTGATCATTATTATTATTATTATTGTCTAACTGTGATACGTGTACTTTAGAAGTAATGTGGCAGTTTCTGACACATGAAGATGGCATGTTACATGAAGAGGGGGCTTGAAAACAGGAACTCTGTGGTGCCTCCTCGGAGTCTGGGGTTCAGGCGAGCCTTTCAGTGCATTCTGGTTTGTCCTGCAGTCCTGCAGCACCATGTCATCTTCTCATCCCAGAACCTGTTGAACATTACAGTAGAACTTTTTTACTTTGAATAAATCATGAGGAAAGCTGCTCTGGTGTGAAGCCTTGTCTCTAAAATTGTTCATGTTGATGCATAAGAGCAAAAATGCTTTTGTCCTAAGAGTGTAGACATAAACTCAAGTATTTATGGTTTAAGAAGTTCAGATTAGATGAAGGTAAGGTTCTTAAAGACATAAGATGATGGTTGATGGTCATTAAAGTATAAAGTTACTGTAATCTACGGGGGACACCCTGGACAGGTCTCCAGTCCATCACAGGGACACAAAGACAAACGAGACGAACAACTATTCACTCTCACTCACACCTAGGGACAATTTAGTTACCAATCAGCCTAACATGCATGTTTTTGGTCTGTAGGAGGAAACCAGAGTGCCTGGAGAAATTTGTCTAATTTCCTTAATTTTTAAAATTGAATTAGTTTTTATTTAATATTATTTCCATCTTCAAGTGATTCTCAACCTGCCATTTATCTGTTCTTCCTTCCCGTTCCTCTCAAACCCAGCCGGTCGAAGCAGATGGCCACTTGTACTGAGCCTGGTTCTGCTAAAGGTTTCTTCCTCATGGTTTTTCCTTTCCACCGTCGCCTTCATGCTTGCTCGAGTCTGCGATGAAGTTAAATTTAAAGCAGTCTGCTCCTCAGATAAATAGTGTTAACTTACTTTATGTACAGGTCCTTCTCAAATAATTAGCATATTTTGATAAAGGTCATTATTTTCCATAATGTAATGATAAAAATTAAACTTTCATATATTTCAGATTCATTGCACACCAACTGAAATATTTCAGGTCTTTAATTGTTTTAATACTGATGATTATGGCATACAGCTCATGAAAACACAAAATGCCTGTCCCAAAAATTAGCATATTTCATCCCACCAATGAAAGACAAGTGTTTTTAATACAAAAAACGCCAACCTTCAAATAACCATGTTCAGTTATGCACTCAATACTTGGTCGGGAATCCTTTTGCATGAATGACTGCTTCAATGCTGCGTGGCATGGAGACAATCAGCCTGTGGCACTGCTGAGGTGTTATGGAGGCCCAGGATGCTTCGATAGCGGCCTTAAGCTCATCCAGAGTGTTGGGTCTTGCATCTCTCAACTTTCTCTTCACAATATCCCACAGGTTCTCTATGGGGTTCAGGTCAGGAGAGTTGGCAGGCCAATTGAGCACAGTAATACCATGGTCAGTAAACCATTTACCAGTGGTTTTGGCACTGTGAGCAGGTGCCAGGTCGTGCTGAAAAATGAAATCTCCATAAAGCTTTTCAGCAGATGGAAGCATGAAGTGCTCCAGAATCTCCTGATAGCTAGCTGCATTGACCCTGCGCTTGATAAAACACAGTGGCCCAACACCAGCAGCTGACATGACACCCCAGACCATCACTGACTGTGGGTGCTTCACACTGGACTTCTGGCATTTCCTTCTCCCCAGTCTTCCTCCAGACTCTGGCACCTTGATTTCCGAATGACATGCAAAATTTGCTTTCGTCCGAAAAAAGTACTTTGGACCACTGAGCAACAGTCCAGTGCTGCTTCTCTGTAGCCCAGGTCAGGCGCTTCTGCCTCTGTTTCTGGTCCAAAAGTGGCTTGACCTGGGGAATGCGGCACCTGTAGCCCATTTCCTGCACACGCCTGTGCACGGTGGCTCTGGATGTTTCTAGTCCAGACTCAGTCCACTGCTTCTGCAGGTCCCCCAAGGTCTGGAATCGACCCTTCTCCACAATCCTCCTCAGGGTCCGGTCACCTCTTCTCGTTGTGCAGCGTTTTCTGCCACACTTTTCCCTTCCCACAGACTTCCCACTGAGGTGCCTTGATACAGCACTCTGGGAACAGCCTATTTGTTCAGCAATTTCTTTCTGTGTCTTACCCTCTTGCTTGAGGGTGTCAATGATGGCCTTCTGGACAGCAGTCAGGTCGGCAGTCTTACCCATGATTGCGGTTTTGAGTAATGAACAAGGCTGGGCGTTTTTAAAAGCCTCAGGAATCTTTTGCAGGTGTTTAGAGTTACGTCGTTGATTCAGATGGTTAGGTTAATAGCTTGTTTAGAGAACCTTTTCATGATATGCTAATTTTTTGGGACAGGCATTTTGGGTTTTCATGAGCTGTATGCCATAATCATCAGTATTAAAACAATTAAAGACCTGAAATATTTCAGATGGTGTGCAATGAATCTGAAATATATGAAAGTTTAATTTTTATCATTACATTATGGAAATGAATGACCTTTATCACAATATGCTAATTTTTTGAGAAGGACCTATATATGAATGTTTCTGTTCAGTGCCCTGAGATGACTTCTGTTGTGACTTGGCGCTATATAAATAAATTGAAATTTTGTTTACGAAGAAAACATTAATGCAGACGCAATTCCAACCTGCATCGAATAAATGGGAACATTGTTGGACATTTAGAATAAATTTATTAAGCCAGTCAAATACAAAAAGTCATACATGTGCTTTTTGCCTACAGCAAAACGAATCAAAAGGCTTTAAACCAGGAAAATACAACTGCCAGAAATTACAGCATACCTTTCAAAAGTGCAACTCTGCTCATGTGTCATCTCAGCCCTCACCAATCAGGATTTTTAACCCATTTTTCTAAATCATTAAATAAAAACTGAGCAATTTTCAAAAGTCCTATTCACACTTTTTGAAGCCCTTCGTCTATTTGAAATACAGCAACTTAAAACGGGTGTTGGTTAAAAACAGGCGAGTCTTTGTTAGATTGGATTTTTTTTAGATCTGATGCTGCAGCGTTTTGCAGCCAGACGTTCCAGTAGAGGTTTCCCTCTAGAGGAGCAGCGGCTGCAACAACACGATCAGTAAGTTTAACTCTAGAAACTTCTGATACATCGGTGCTGGGACCTCTGAATGTTGTAAATGGTCAACAGGATGCGGTAAGATGAACGTAAATATCGGAACGAGTGGTCAAATCAAGCAGAAATGTATGAGATTAGGTCCATCGTCATGGGGGAAAGAAAAGGCTGCATGTGCTGTGCATTGTGTCTGATACAAACATACAATGTCAAGAGCTACAATATATCGGGATTACACTAACAACATAGAAAGAACAGCATTACTGAAGACAATGATTTACACGCAAAACAGCAGGTTATAAATAAATTATTAGCAATCACAATCATGTTTTTTTGGTATGATACTATCAAAATTCATGTCCCCAGGTTTTTGTATTTCAACAACCACTTTTGAACAGTTACACATATTAGACAGCTCTATTACATCAATGGGACTGTAGCAATCCTCATAAATCAACGTTCACATTGTTCAGCTCTACGCTTCAGTGTACCTATATAACCACCCGTTGCTGGAATGAGTGTGTTGTCCTACTCGTGTTGGGGAATGGCTTTCTGTAACCTTACAAGTAAAGTTAAGTATTAAAGTTGGTGTATACTTGCAGAGACAATTACATGGGTATATTTTATGGAACAAGAAAAAGAAAAAAGTTAATTATTCCAACCTATTTAACAAATGACCAGAGTTCCTGATAATAAAAAAAATAACTGTAGCGAAGTGTTTCACAAATAGCCTTATAAAACGCAAGTATAAACAACAATACAATAGGATATCTACAGTTCAGTAGGAAAATTATATCTCAGTCACACCTTGCCAACTTAAAAACAATTTCATGCTACTACCCAGACTCCATTAGGTAGGTAGGGTGGGGGTGGGGGGGTGATGCTTTAGTGCTTTCCAGGGTCTATGTTCTGTCTCTCCCTTTTCCCAAACCCTGTTGCTGTTGCTGCTGCTGACGGATCTAAGGAAGCACAAGGAGGCACCAAACTGCATTATCTTCATTTACAAACTAAACATTTTGTGAACATTTGGGGATAAAAAGAACAAAGCTGTAATTGTGAGAAATACACAACGTTTTAGTGTTTAAAAGAAAGAAAAGGTGAGCAGTAAGTGATCGTGTCATTGTCTGGCTGCACCTTACCTGCGTTCTCTGGTGGTGGTCTTGAACTTTCTCCCACTGCTGCTCTGGTTCCTCGCGGTTGAGGGAATGACATCTGCCAAGGAAAACCCTGATCAAAGAGAAGGCACAGTTTATTAAAGAAATACCGGAGTATTTGCAGCAGCCATTAGATCTTTGCTGTAACCAAACAGTAATGACCAAGCACAGGCCGGTTGCTTCTGTCCCAACAAGGAAAAGATGGAGGAATGAAATCTCCAGAGGCAGAGGAGGTTTCACAGCACTCTTACCGGGTTCACAGGCTGGAAGTCTCGAGCAGGGGGCGGTGCTGCTGCTGCCGCAGTGGCGCCTGCTGCGTTGGGCATCCGGGGAGGTAGGTGTACGGGCCAGCCTTCCAGGCCCTGAGTTCCCACCTGCACAAAGGGACCACAGTAGGGGGGGCTCAGCGGGCCGTTCACTGAGCCTGACGTGGGGTCTGAAGTACGTCTTTCCTGCTGCTGCCCCTAAGAGGTACCACAAGTACACACGTGATCCCCAATCAGTGCACGGCTGTGGTTGAGTCACGGCATGGGCCACTGCAGACCCTCAACTCTGCTGCCTCCTGAGGAGGAGTGTGAAAACTCCACCTGCTAATCCTCAGACTGCTGGCTGAGGGGTGCACCGTGGAGCAAGTTTAACACAAAGAGCCTCCCTCTGTGCTGGCGGACTAACTACACCTAAGCCTCCACTCAGAAGTACTACAGTAGTGAGAACTCGTTTAAAGTCTGGCACTCTTTTGCATTATTTGATGATGCTTCTGCACAAACACACAGATCTCCTCCAAACTTTACTGATAAGAACGGCACGAACACAGAGATTTATTGCACTTGAAGCTTACAGGAATTTAAATCCCTGCTGCTACATTTTAAATGGGAGTAATGTTGCAGAAAATGTTTAGTCGTGTAAATAATGCTTTCATAGTTTTACAGCTTGGTGTGACAGCTGCACACAAAGTTCGCCCAGGCTTTGACATTGTCCCATTAAAACATCTAAACACTTCAACCAGGTCGTCTCAGTCCATAGGCTTTCTGGAGTGAAACTCTACTCTGAACTATGTTCTACCACTAGGGGGCGCAAATCTACCATATTCTCTTGCTTCTGAGCTTTACAACCCAAAGGCTTAAAGAATGCCTCATTTCTGACTAAATGACCCAACTTTTCTTGACCTTACATGGTCTGACGCATCACTGTTTGGACCATTTTAATCTACGTGTGTTCTCGTCAGACTGAGGCCTGAGCTGCAGCCAGTACCTGTTTATGATGCTGCATCTGCAGTCGCTCCAGCTTACACCTCTCGGTTCGTTCTCTCTGACACTCGTTCTGCGCCTGATGAAGCTGAACCAGAAAAACAAGAAAAGAACAGCTGTGTAGTTTTGTACCGATACAGAACCTTAAACTGTACTAATCATGTAAAATGTGAAAGTACCTGATTTGTTAAATTAGTAATCTGACCCTGGAGTCGCTCAACTTGCCGCCTCAAGTCTTCTTTCTCCTCATTCATTCGCTCCCTGTCACTCCGTTCTTTCCTGAAGTCCTCTTCAAAGATTTTCACCTGCAGCAACAAACAGTTATAAAACCAGTCTAATCAAACCTGCACGGTGCGCACGTTCTGTCCTGTGTCTTGCCTGTTCTTTTAAAACAGCGATTTGTGTGAGAAGTTCCTGCTTTTTCAGGTTATTAGCTGCGTCTGCAAAGTTCCCCTGACCAGGAGGTTGCTGGGAGGATGAAGGGGCGTGCAGGTTTAAGGCTTCCTCTAAGGCCTAAAGTCAGACAAAGGAAGCAGACAGTAAGTGTCTGAATTTGTTGGTTGTTTTTTGTTGTTGCATCTTCTGACACTCACCCTGTTCAGGCGTTGGATCTCCTTCTCCTGGTACTCTCTCTGTTTGCTGAGGGGTAACAGCTGATCCTGCAGATAACGAATCTTCTGCTTCAGCTCCGTGGTCTCAGAGTTTAAACACTCCTTCTCCCCCTGAAGTCATAAAAATCCAAAACTGTAAACCAAGGCCTCACATTTCAAGGACATCATATTGCCCATCGCCATGATTGTGTGTCACATGATTGTGTACTTTAATTGTCAACTTTAACATTACTCACGTGACTGGCATGGTACGGGATAAAAAGTTATTTTTAAAAAATTCGGACAGTCTCTGCCATTTTGTAGTTTTCTTTGAATAAGCCTACACTGCAATGCAAGTCAAAAGAACTACACTACCAAGAAGCCAACAGTGCTTCCGGCTGCTGCTTTCTGCTGAAATGGAGGGAAAGTTTAGCAACGCAAAGTCGGAGCGAACATCCATCTATGAAGCTCACAGAACTGGCAGGAAAGTCACAAACAGTCCTGAAGCTCAATTATCCACGCGCATCAACCTGGACGGGGCGGTGGGCTTCGTCGCTGCAGGGTAGATCTGCTGAACAGGAACTGAGCTGCTGGTCTGCAGAACTGGTGAGTAAAATTTTGCAGTACTGTACAGTACATATATGCATGGGCGTCAGAAGCAGCTGTAAAGTGGGGAGGATGCTGTGTGTGTGTGTGCGCATGTACCAGTGTGCAAAAAATTGTACACTACAAAAAAGCAACATTTCATCTAGATGTCCTTACTTTAATTCCATTTAAAGCATGTTTCTCACCACGTTTGTGTAAATTCAGCTGTTTTAAAGACCATTTTAACTTTAATGCACTTTAATACAGAGCGTCAGATCTGCACTATTTGTGTTAATAAAGAAATAAAAAAGTCACCACTGGACTTTTTTACTTGTGTTCAACACTACTTATCTAAAGGATGTTTCTCGTGAAGCTTGAGGACAATAAGGTGTGGGGTTTTAAAGATATTTCAACTTTAATGCACCTGAACACACAGCATCTCTTACACCTGCAGCGTCTCACAGCGTCACAGTTACTGCTAAGCTAACATGCTACAGACGTAGCACTGCACTTCTCTCAAACATCCTCCTAACCATGTATATATGTTTATGATCAACCCCCCTGGTCAACAACTGCCCGCACTAAGCTCGCTAAACTGGCGAGCGAGCAACACAGGGTTGTCTCCATCTCCTCCACCTGTGCGCGTTTTTTGAAGACGGACCAGAAACACTGCAGGTTGGAGGAGGTAACCAGGAAAACCTGGAGCGGATTTTTAGTGGCTTGAATATTCTCCTTTTAATCAAGTGGAATGGATTTGTTCACGAAGAAAGAGAAACTGCGCCGCCTGAACTAATGTTTTATAGTAAAAGTGGGGGGGTCCAAGTGAACGTTTTTTTAATGTGGGGGGCGGACTTGTCCCCTAGGTTGCGACGCTTATGCATATATGTATGTTGTTAAAATGGCGTAGGTTTAAGAGCATAGAACATTGTAATAGTGTGGGATGGGTTTATAAAGCCTTAAAATATATAAATACTAAAATAAATATAGCGTTCCTACTTTGCGGTTTTTCACCTATCGCGGTGGTGTCTGGAACGCAACCCCCCGCGGTCATCGAGGGACTACTGTATAGCCTTTTTTTATCGGCTTAAATCAACTCCAACAGTGACTCAGTTGTAGATGTACAAATCCCACAGTTTAATCACAGTGGAACATAGTAAACTTCTTTAAAGTTTTGTTTACAATGTTTAGAAAAAACTAAAACCGTGGAAAAAGGACCATGTTTACCACTGAAGCGTCCGCACTTTAAACAACAGACTGTACACGTCTGTGAACTGAGGAGAGAAGATGCTGGAGGTTTTGGAGGGAATGTTGTTCCATTCTGGTCTGATGGAGGATTCTAGATGTTCAACAGTTTCTGGTTGTTTGTTGGATCTTCTGTTTCGCAGTGCTTCAAATGTTTTCTCTTGGTGACAGGTCTAGACTGCAGGCAGGCAAAGACTCTGTTTCGTGCTTACATGTGGCTTCTTTGCATGACAGAGTTTTTACCGTCCTGGTCCTGCAGGGCTACTTTCCTGCATGTTTTACATGTCTCTCTGCATCGACACACATGATCTGAATGAACGAGTGGTTAGTCTTTAGAACTTGAAGACCTGATGAAACAAGTAAAACTGTATTTTCCGCCGTACCCGTCGCTCTGCCCTATAAGTCGCATCAGTCCAAATATGTCTGAAAAAGTGAAAAAAATCCTTTAATATGTCGCTTCGCCGTATACGTCACATCGATTATGCGTCACCGCTGACGCATCACGTTTGTTACGCATCACTGCTGACAACCCGAAAATGTGGGCCGAACCTGGAAATATGGGCTGGTGTGCCAAAAATCAATGGGCTGCCAAATGGTGGCCGCGGGAGCGTGCAGGGGAGAACTTTAACAAGAATTTAACAAGATTAACACTTAAAAACAATTATTTGTTTGCTCAAAATTATAGTGAGGGTGTGTCTCAGTTTACCTTATGCTTAATAAATGCACTTTGACAGTCAAATCATCCGTATTTAAAAACACGATTCGCAGAAGCGGCAGGCACGCACAGCGGGATGAGCCTCCGCAATTATTTGAATTTTAACAAGATAAACATCTAAAACAATTATTTGTTTGCTCGAAATTATAGCAAAGGTGTGTGTCAGTTGAACTTTTACTTAATAAATGCACTTTAATGGTCAAATTAGCTGCATTTCACCGGGGCAGTTGACTTGCTCCAAGCAGCGAGCAGAACGAAGGTGGGGGGACCGATTGAGTCATTAAAAGCTGGTGAAGATCCTCTGTCACCCAGGACATGGTAAATTCAAAAAAGTTCAAGACAAAAAACAAAGTATAAAGTAAAGTATAATAAATAAAGTCCAGTTATTTTTGTATTGAACTTTTTTGAATTTGTCATTATAGCCACGTTTACCTATTACATGAGACAACGGCATGCCATACTGCTACTACTCTTCTGCCATCTAGTGGCTAAAAATGGTACTGTTCAATTTTTTTTTCCTTAGAATGAATGAAAACCATCATATCTCAGCCAAAAATTGATTTATAAATATGGGAAAAAAAATCCATAATACGTCGCTTCGGCCTATAAGTCGCAGGGCATGCAAATTATACATCCCCCCCC